GTAAGAAGGCTGTTTTTACATCAAGTTGTTCTAACTCGAGGTCATATGCAACTGTAAGAGACATCAGAATCCTAATAGATGTATGTCGAACAATTGGTGAAAAAATCTCTGAATAATCAACTCCCTCAGTTTGTGTAAATCCCTTGGCAACCAATCTAGCTTTATATCTTATTGGTTCATTTGGATCTACTGTTTCTTTCAATTTGTAGATCCATTTACAACCAACTAATTTTTTATTTAATGGTCTATCTACCAGCTCCCAGGTACCATTTTTGTGCAATGACTCCATCTCTTCATTCATGGCTTTCAACCATTTTTCACTGTCAGAAGAATTTATTGCAGCAACATAATCCATGGGTTCATTATCTTAATGGTTAACTTCAGTATTCAGAGCATAATAAACCAAATCTGCATTTCCATATCTGGATGGGGGCCTAATTTCCCTCATCTGTCTATCTCTTGCAAGTCTATAATTTTGAAGATCAATGGGTTGTGGGTTAAGTGTTGAAGTTTGTGCATCATGGTCAGCAGCTCCACCATCATTGGTGTTCACACCAATGTTCTCAACTTCAGCATCTAAGTCTTCTTCACCTGAATTATCTAATCCATTCAAGTTATCAATTCCAGAATTATTAGGAATTGGAAGATCCAACTCCATTTCGAACGTGATTTTTCCTGGTGCTTCCACAGATGAGTTTCTTGAGACATTATTATTCATTGCAATTTTTGTCTCATCAAAAATAACATCTCTACTAATAAAACATCTTTCCTCACCTTTTTCTAAACACCACAATCTATAGCCCTTTACACCTTGGGGGTAGCCCAGAAATAGACACTTTTTAGCTCTATGGTCAAGCTTTCCTTCTTTAGAGTGAGCATAGGCTAAACACCTAAATATTCTTAAACCAGAAAGGTCAGGGGGACTTCCGGTCCACATTTCCATGGGAGTTTTATTGTTTATGGCCGAAGAAGGACACCTATTGATTAGGTATGCAGCCGTCACTACTGCCTCTCCCCAAAACCGTTTATTTAGGTTTGCATTAGACAAAAGACATCTAACTCTCTCAAGTAAGGTTCTGTTCATTCTTTCAGCAAGACCGTTCTCGTGTGGAGTTCCTCTCACAGTGAAGTGTCTTTCAATTCCTTCTTTAGAGCACATGTTTTTGAACTCTCGACTAAGGAATTCAAGCCCATTGTCTGTTCTCAAACATTTAAGCCTCTTACTTGTTTTCTTTTCAACTAAAACTCTCCACTCTTCAAATTTTCTAAAGGTTTCATCCTTTGTTTTGAGAGGATATACCCACACACGTCTTGAGTAATCATCAACAATGGAGAGGAAATACCTTGCTCCACCAAGTGTGGGTGTTTTTTCGAGGCCTCATAGGTCAGCATGTATATAATCTAAAATTGACTTAGATATATGCTTTCCTTTGCCAAAAGAGACCCTTGTTGCTTTGCCATATATACAATGTTCACAAGTTCCAAGTGATCCAATAGGTGAAGATCCAAGTAAACCTTGTTTCTTTAATTCAACAAGTCCTTTCTCACTTACATGCCCCATCCGTTTATGCCATAAATTGGCTTTATCCTGTTCATTCTGTGATGCCACAGCTGCTGTACCAAGGATAGTGGTTCCTTCAAGAACATATAGTCCACTAACCAACTTTCCTTTCAATTTTACCATTGCTCCTTTGATAACTTTCATGGTGCCTCTTTCTGTTTTACATGTATACCCAGCTTTATCAAACACTCCCAATGACAATAGACTTCTTTTCAAATCTGGGACATACCTTACATCTGAGAGAACTCTGGTTTGATTGTCAAACGTTTTGACTTGTATAGAACCAATCCCTTTTATACTGCATTCTTGATGGTTCCCCAATAAGACTTTTCCTTCTATAAGAGACTCAAAGTCTTGAAACCAGTGGCGGTTTGGTGTCATATGAAACAAACACCCAGAGTCAAGGATCCATTCTGAATCAAAAGATCCTTCAGAAACTGTTAGAACTTCCGCTGAGGCATATCCTTCAGTAATGTTTGCATTACTTGCCTCCTCTGGCTTCTTATTTTCTGATTTCCTTTTATTCTTCAGTTCTAAACAGTTTCTACGAATATGTCCCTCCTTGTGACAGTAGTAACATCTTTTTACTTTACCTTGAGACTTAGACCTTCCCCTGTTGACTTCTGATCTCCCTCTACTGCTGCTTGCTTTGAAATTTTTCTTATCTGATCTACCCCTAGTGAAATGTGCTTCACCCTCCTTTGAATTTGTCTTTTTCATTTCTAATTCTCGTGACCTTAGAGCATTGATAACAATATCAAGCGTCAAGCTATCCCTGCCATACTTAATAGCAGTTTTAACTTCATTATACGATTCCGGAAGTGAATTTAAGAGAATTATAGCTTTATTCTCATCCTCAAGTTTCTCACCAATATTAACCATATCAATGATAATTCTATTAAATTCATCAAGATTCTGCTCTAAATCCTTAGTCACATCCATCTTGAATCCAAAGAACTTTTCCTTAAGGTACAACTTATTAGAAAGAGATTTTGTAAGATAAATTTTATCTAATTTAGACCATACCTCTTTTGCCGTAGATTGTTCATTAACTTTCCTCAAAACATTGTCTGCCAGGTAGAGAATTATCGAGCTGTAGGCGATTTCCTTCGTTTCCTTAAATTGTTTATCAGTCATATCCTCGGGCTTATCATCAGACTGATCGAGGGCTATTGCAACCTTCTGCTGTACAAGGAGCGCCTTCATTTTCTTCTTCCATAAGGAGAAACCTCCTTTGCCGTCGAATTTATCTACCTCAAACTTAGCTGCCATCACAGACAATTCTGATAATCTCTTATTTCAACGTTCGCGTGAGATTTCTAGGCTCTGATACCACTTTGTAATTCAAAATCGTTTCAACAATGAACAAAATGACCAAATCCAATCAGATTTCAGAAACACTCACATTCAAAGCAGTAAAGCAAAATTAAAACAATAAGAGAAGAATGAGAGAGTAAGAACAACAAACAATTTATAGTGGTTCGATCCAAAATTTGATCTACATCCACTGAGTCACTTCCATTGATATTTGTTTCAGCAAGGTCTCTATTACAATAAATGATCTAATTTAAGAGTGGCAAATTAACTAGTATATAAGACATGGATAGGGTTGAAGGAGTTATATCCTGATGACACTGTTGATACGGTTTGTTGATGTTGAATTTTGCTAAACTGAATTGATTGGCCTACTACACAAGGAGTGACCTGGACAGAGGGAACAAATACTCTAGCTCAAGTAAGTAGGGGTTTGAGCTATGATAGGTCATGGTCAGACATAGTTGCGTACCTGCGTCTGAAGTATGATGTCGAAGGGGGGACCAGTCTGTTGAGAACGCTTCAACAGGAGGTTGGGGCGGTTACGGACTGTTGGGCCTGAGGTCGGTTGTTCGGCTTGAAGTCGATATCCTCAAGTTGGTTGAAGAGAACTTAAATGATTTTCCAGTTCGTTTGACCTTTAGCTCAGTCCTAGAAATAGATCAGTCCTTTCCCTTGGGTTGATTAAGCAGATTTGGCCTTCCCGAGCTAAGCTAATTTGTCATGTTGAATTTTACCCTCCAAAACGGTTCACTTTGTAATTGTTACAAATGAGCCTATTTGGATCATATATGTGGTGACATGTGAGTGTAGGTATCATATACAATGAGAGATTGCATAATACTAGATCGTGATATATCTTACAGTTTCTCGTAAGATTGTTAAAGAAAATGTTGACACGTCACAAGGATGATCATATGCTTATTTCATCTTAATCTTGAGTGTGATATGAACTCTTGCCTATGTGAGTGTGTTATTTGATTCATGTGGGTGATGGTGACACGAACGTACCAATAAACGTTCTGTTTTGGGGGAAAACATTCAAGTGAGGAGCTGGAAACATTTCTACACAAAATAGAGTTCTCAACTGCTCAATAGTGGCAGATGCAAAGTGGCATTTCAGCTTATTGAATATGTATATTCCTAAAGTGTTGGTTGGGGTTTGTATAATAGGGTACCCGTCTTCTTGATACCCTAAGAAGAATTTTAGGGTGATGAGATCATATAAGACTATTGATGGAGCAATAGGTGAAATTAGGGACAAAACAGTAATTTGGTTTAGATTGAACCATGGATTACTTTGTGAATGATCAAATAAACGATTATGGTTATATCGACATAACTCATCTATAATGCATAAGATTGTAGCTCTTGGTCTATAGGACACCACCTTGAGTTTGTGATGAGATTGATCCACAAAGTCTAGCTCAATGACCCGATAGTAAATACTAAGTTGAGAGAAAATTAAATAATATTGAAGATTTAATTTAGCTCTTAATAATAAATTAGATGTACAATTATTATTATTTTATTTTATTAATGAAGGATGTCATTATAAATTAAATACTATTAGAATCTCAATCCTTGAAACAATAGACATAAATGAAAAATATTTATTTTCAGACATTTTATATTATGGGTCTAAAACGGAGTAATTGTTATAAAATAAAATAAAATAAAATATATATATAATACACACACCTTTTAACTTAAAAAAAAAAAAAAACTCAACAAAAATATTTATTTTCAGACAATTTTATATTATGGATCTAAAACGGAGTAATTGTTATAAAAGAATATAATATATATATATATAATAAGACACCTTTTAACTTTAAAGAAAAAATTTAAAAATAAATAACCCTCAACAAAAATTATTTGAAATGACGCAAAATTGAAATCATTCAAATTTATGTGATACCAAAAGAATTCATTCTAAATACAAATTTGAGATCACTCGAAATTCTTGGTAAACAAACAAACCAAAAAGTTGGCTTTAATCCGAAAGCCTGGATGAGTGTACTAATGGGCCGGGCCTAAGTTTATGAATCTTGGGCTTGCCACATCAGCTTCCGCCGAGCCCAGGCCATAAGATGAAGTGGCAGCCACTGGAATTTCAACTGGATTGAACTGAATATCTCCATTGCCGGCGCCGGAGATGGAGCTGGGAAGAAATCTCTGCTTCCTCTTCTCTCCACTGCTCAAAATTATGAACTAAAATCCTCTTAATCGAAATGCGTAGCTCTTCAATCTCATCTTCTTCAATGCAATTAGAATCAACTTCACCCTTTTCTTCCGCCATCCCCTTGTTTCTTCTGGGAACCAGAAATCACGCCCCAATACGCCTCAACAAGATCAAACGAAAGCCCACAACTCCAATTATAATCCTCAGAGCCTCAGCTTCTTCGAAATCAAAAGATGTATGGAGAAGAAGAACCCCGTCTGGAGATTCAACGGCATCGCCATTTCCCCAAAAGTACCAACGCAGCGCGAGAAGGCAGCGAGAGCCCCCGCATTTGGACCACAGCGTCGACATGGACGAGCTTTTATCGTCAATTGGGCAGACGAAGAACGAACAGGAGCTGTACTCGGTGCTGTCCCCGTATAAAGGGCGCCAGCTTTCGATCCGGTTCATGGTATCGCTTCTGTCGCGCGAACCGGACTGGCAACGGTCGCTCGCGATTCTTGATTGGGTCAACGAAGAGGCTCTTTACACGCCCTCGGTGTTCGCTTACAATGTTGTTATCCGCAATGTACTGCGCGCGAAGCAGTGGGAGATTGCACACGGCCTGTTCGACGAAATGCGCCAGAGAGCTCTTGCGGCTGATAGGTATACTTATTCCACTCTCATCACTTGTTTTGGGAAAGAGGGGTTGTTTGATGCTGCCCTCTATTGGCTTCAGCAAATGGAGCAAGATCGGGTCTCAGGGGACCTTGTTTTGTACAGTAATTTGATTGAGCTTTCTCGTAAACTCTGTGATTATTCAAAGGCCATTTCCATTTTTTCAAGATTAAAGAGATCCGGGATTACTCCAGATATTGTAGCCTATAATTCCATGATAAATGTGTTTGGAAAAGCTAAGCTTTTCAGAGAGGCTCGTTTTTTGTTGAAGGAGATGAGGGCTGTGGGTGTTGTGCCGGATACTGTTAGCTACTCGACTTTACTCAGTATGTTTGTTGAGAATGAGAAGTTTTTGGAGGCTCTGTCTGTGTATTCTGAGATGATGGAGGTCAACTGCCCGCTTGATCTTACTACTTGTAATGTTATGATTGATGTTTATGGTCAGCTGGATATGGTGAAGGAGGCTGACCGGCTGTTTTGGAGCATGAGGAAGATGGGAATTGAGCCGAATGTTGTGAGTTATAATACCATTTTGAGGGTTTATGGTGAGGCTGAGCTTTTCGGGGAAGCGATACACCTTTTCCGCTTGATGCAGAGGAAGGAGATTGAGCAGAATGTGGTGACATATAACACCATGATCAAGATATATGGGAAGTCTCTGGAGCATGAAAAGGCAACGAATCTTGTGCAAGAGATGCAAAATAGAGGGATTGAACCGAACGCGATTACATACTCGACAATAATTTCGATATGGGGGAAAGCAGGAAAGTTGGAGAGAGCTGCAATGCTGTTTCAGAAGCTGAGAAGCTCTGGGGCTGAGATTGATCAGGTTCTTTACCAGACCATGATTGTGGCCTATGAGAGGGCAGGCTTGGTTGCTCACGCCAAGCGTTTGCTTCACGAGCTGAAGCAACCAGACAACATTCCGAGGAAGACAGCAATTACCATTCTCGCTAGAGCTGGTCGAATCGAAGAAGCGACATGGGTTTTTCGACAGGCGTTCGATGCAGGAGAGTTGAAGGACATATCCATTTTTGGGTGCATGATTGATCTGTTTTCGAGGAACAAGAAGCACAAAAATGTTGTGGAGGTATTTGAGAAGATGAGAAGTGTGGGACATTTCCCCAACTCTAATGTCATTGCCCTTGTCCTAAATGCTTATGGGAAGTTGAGGGATTTTGACAAGGCTGATGCTGTGTACATGGAGATGCAGGAAGAGGGCTGTGTTTTTTCCGACGAAGTACACTTCCAGATGCTCGGTCTCTACGGCGCAAGAAAGGATTACAAGAGATTGGACTCGTTGTTCGAAAGGCTCGACTCTGATCCCAATATAAATAAGAAGGAATTGCATCTCGTTGTTGCGAGCATTTACGAAAGGGCTAACAGACTTAACGATGCATCTCGGATTATGAGCAGGATGAACGAAATGGCAATCTCGAGATCATGACTCTGCATTCTACATTCCTGTACAGTATGTTTTACTAACACATTAATGAATTCTTTACTTCTTGAACATCATTGTATAATATGTATATTGCCACACCAAAAAAAAAAAAAAAAAAAAACCACCCTGGTCAATGATGCAAAGTTGCTGCTGCTTGAAAACTCTTAGACATTTATTGCTCAAGATCTCAACCAACTAAAGTATCTGAAATCCATTTTTGTGTATCATAAATGGGGTTTTAAATTTTGATGGACATTTCTCATATGTCCATAAGTTCAAGACATAAACGGGGAATTGACATTTTCATAATATCCTAGAAAAATCAACAAAATATCATTAATGTAGATTAATTAAAAAACCCACTTATTTAAAAAGGATAAAATTGTTTATTTGTCAATTTAAATATTTTTTATGTTTTTAAAAATATCATCGATATCGACATTTTACTAATATTTTCATTTATATTAAGATTTCAACATTTTCATCGGAATCAAAATTTAAGACATGGATGATATCAAGACAATTTTGTGGAACATTGATGTATTTTATTACAAAGAGTTTACTATTTGTACAATTCTAAAAGCATGTTTACTCCTTATCTAAAAAAAATTGGATATTTACTCGTATGTATAATTTTTAAACCTTACCATTAATGATTATTTTTAAACTTTAAAATAATTTTACAATGCTAGAGAGTATTAACTAGTCTTAATAGCAGCCTAGTTAGATTCGTTAAGACATCTATTTCTTATAAAAATATCGTGTTTAGTCTTTGAGCTTGAGAATAAATGTCTAATCAATGTCGAGATTTCTCCTCACCGACTACCGGAACGAAGGAGGATTCAAGGGAAATTGGGGTTTTTGACCCCACCAATAGATCAAATTGGATAAATGAACCCCTTTTAAAAAAACCTAATTTTTTACCCCACCTCTACTTAATTTTGAACCTCTCCCCAAGCCAATTTACCATGGTACCCTCATGTTTAAAAATGAAGGGAACTCCCTCCAAGTAAATAAGTAAAATCATAAACCCCATCTCGGACGTTTCCTGGCCCAACGAAAATTTTCACCTTTTCTCGAACGTTTCATTTGTCCTAAAGCCCTAAAACCCATCCCGGATTGAACGTTATCTCGGACAAAGGACGTTGGACGATTCATCCATCCCGGACCTTACGAAGTTATCTCGGACGTTTCTCTTCCATTGTTTCGCCCTACGAAGCCATCGATCGCAATGTTAGTGGTCGGGTAGATTATAACAAATTTTTTAGAAACGTTTGTTGTTCTGATTTCATTATTGGCGCTATCTGAAGCAGCCATGTAGATCTAGGGTCATTTTCATGTTGTGCTTGCAGGACTGAGAAATTTGGGGAAAAAATCAATCTCTGATGCAACCCCGTATTCAATCCCAGATGATTTTGGTCTGGGATAGAGTCTGGGATTGAATCCGGGATCGAATTCGAAGTGGCTGCATAAGCCTTCCATCCCAGACCTTATCCCGGACCATTTCGCCTCCGGGATGAAAGGCAGAAAATGAAACCATATTCTCTGCCTTTCATCCCGGAACGAAACGGTCCGGGATAAGGTCCGGGATGGAAGGCAGAATGCATTATGTTTGGAAAGCCTTCCATCACGAACCTTATCCCGGACCGTTTCGTTCCGGGATGAAAGGCGAATTTTTTTTTTTAAGTTGGTCTGCACTGAACGTTTTTTTTAATTTCCTTGCATTAGCCTTTATGTAATTTTTTTTTTTACCTTTGTATAGGTCATATAATGGATTTGAGACTAATTCTAAACTGTGATGACTGGTTTCCGACCACGTTGATCAACCTTGCCCATGTAGATAAAACCACTTCTAGGCTGAAGGGTAGGTTAACCCTAACCCAGTTAGACATGTTTAGGCAAACGTGTTTCAGTCCCATTTTGGACATGGACGTAGTTTTTAATGATCCATTAATACATCATCTATTGTTGAGAGAGGTTGAAGAGCCTAGGCAGGACATCATTAGTTTCGACCTGTTTGGGAAAAGGGTCTCCTTTGGTAAGCGGGAGTTTGACCTAATCATCAGCCTCTGTCATAGGATGATTAGGGTAGATAACGATATTCCTGGCCGACGACTTCGAGCATGTTACTTTAAGGATAGTGTCAGGGTTAAGTGTAGTGAGTTAGAGAAGATTTTTATGGAGGCAGTTTTTGACGATGATGAGGATGCTGTCAAGGTTGGCATAGTTTACTTCGTCGAGCTTGCCATGATGGGGAAGGAGAGGAAGCAGTTAATAGGTACGACCCTTTTAGGGGTTGTGGATAGGTGGGAGCTGTTCTGCAATCACGACTGGAGTTCGTTGATTTTCGAAAGAACACTTTGGAGCCTGAAGAATGCCCTGAAGGATAAACTACCAGCGTACCAACAGAAGGCGAGAAATGACCCCACACACCAAGAGACTTATAGTCTCTACGGGTTCCATACGCATTTCAGGTTAGCGAGCTTTAAGTCAACTATATAATCGTATATATTATTTAAATGCATTATTTATTTGACTTCACTGGATTTTAGGTATGGGTTACGAGATGATATCGACGTTGAGTCTGCGCGTAGCCACGAGGCTGAGCGACGACACCATTCCTCGACTCCTTAGGTGGTCGTGCACTTATTCTCGTGGGTTTCTTACTCTGTAGAGAGACGTGTTCGATAACACGATGGTAAGTAATTATCTTGACCCCGTGCGATTCAAATTTATTTTTTCATTTGGGTCTAATCATAAGTTTTTT